ATATAGATATAAAATGCAAAACATATTTCCTCATTAGCCAGGATGTGGAAAAAAAGCAAGAAAAATGAAGATTAAAAAAAAATGTGGGGCATTGAGCAGCACTCTGAGCCTATTTGACAATGTATGCAGTTGCAAAACAAGCTGGGTCCAAGGCTCTTGGTTGCCAAGGACCCAGAAGCTTGGTTTCTCACAGTTAATACACAATGTGGAGGGCGTGAAAAACAGGAAACACGAGATTATAAGGATTGAGACTTATGATTTTTCATTGGTGGAGGGGAATTGGGAGACAGTGAAGTGAGAGGGAAAAGGGTATTCTTGTGACATTCTTTAAGTAAGGTGACGGTGGGGAGGAGGAATACTCTTGTGAAATCTCCTAAATCAGATGATTTACATGGAGTTGAAAATTAACTTCACAAAATGGTGGACAAAAGCAAAATGGAGTCATTAATGTTAATTTTTAATGTAACATTCCCCTCATTGACCCTGAGGTTCTCACCCCACCAGGATCATTTATTTAAATGCTTTATTAGGGACTTCTTAATGGAGTGAGAGTCTACCTTGAGAGGCACCAAAAAGTGGGGCCTGAGATATAGTGCAAGCAGAGTCATGATACTATATACCCCCTAAGAAGACAAATCTTGTTAAATACACTCTAAGTCAGGCTACAGATCAAACTACTTAGAGGGCTTATCATGGCCTAATTTTTTTTTTAGTACTTTATTATTATTATTATTATTATTTTTTTTGCTAGGCAATGGGTTTAAGTGACTTGCCCAGGGTCACACAGCTAGTGTCAGGTGTCTGAGACTGGATTTGAACTCAGGTTCTCCTGACTCCAGAGCCGGTGCTTTAACCACTACGCCATCTAACTGCCTCTATTATGGACTAATTTGAGAAAGGAGATTTACATGTCACCAAGTTAACCAAGAAAATTCAGCAAGCATAAACACCATGAAATAACATCAAGTCTCTTTGTAACTTGGTAACCTACTCCCAATGTCCATTTAATCAGCACATTTCATCTTTTTAAAAAAATTATTTATTTATTTTTTATTTTTAGGCAATTGGGGTTAAGTGACCCGCCCAAGGTCACACAGCTAGTGTCAAGTGTTTGGTCTGAGGCCGGGTTTGAATTCAGGTCCTCTTGACTTCAGGGCCAGTGCTCTATCTACTGTGCCACCTAGCTGCCCCCACATTTCATCTTGAGTCCCAGATGTCTCAGGTAGTTGCCTGATCCCTGGAAACATCTTCCCCTGGACATTCTGGAATAGATCTTCTCAGGGCAGCTCTGAAGAGGGTTTCTTGTAGATCTGCTTCTCTGGTTCCAAGTCATTTGCAGAGATCACTAGGTAATTCTGCTAGAATCTGCCAGTACAACTCAGTACAATACAAACTTCTATAGCTCACCTGCTCTGATTGTAGAAACTTGCTAGGAAAGGAAAAGGAGGGACATGGTTATGATGATATCAGAACTGTCCCTTCAAGGGCAAAGACTGACTTGACGTAAGCCATAACAAGGAAAAACTCTCTTAGCTCTGTTTGATTCCAGGCTAGAATCATATCTGACAGCCAATCATGCAGCACAGTTCCATATTTATTCACAGAGTATCAAAAACTGGATCAGAATTAACCAGGTGGAAAAATTTTGAGTTCAGAAAGTAAAGAGTACTGTGGGAAACTGAGTCAAGAGGATCCTACCTCAGCCTATGCTAAAGTCATCCCTTCAACTTTTCCTAGGGACAGACAAGAGACACAGATAAGAAGGAAGGGAATCTTTGTCCCCAATGTATGGCATTGTAGAATTAGACACTAAATTTGTTTTCTCTACTATAAATTTCCCAATTGAGGCTTGAATGTTTCTATAAATGTTAAAACAGAGAAGCTAGGTGGCACAGTGGATAGAGTGCCAGGCCTGGGATCAGGAAGACCTAAATTCAAATTTGGCCTCAGACACTTACTAGCTGTGTGACTTTGGGGAAGTCATTTCACCCTGTTTGCCTCAGTTTCCTCATCTACAAAATGAGCTGAAGAAGGAAATGGCAAACCATACTTTTGGCCAAGAAAATCCCATCCAGGGTCATGAAGAGTTGGACACGACTGAACATCCCTAAATTGGCCAGTTAGGAAGGCATAGAGAAACTTTCTGAAGACTCACAAAAGTTTCCTCAGAAAGGTTTTCACTATTTATATTCCTTTTTCTTTTGGCTGATTAGGCCACATAAAAACACAGACAATACAAGAGATACATAGAAGGAAGTTTTAATAGAAAAGTCAGTGCACACAATTTTCTAAAAGCAATCTTAAAGCCTTTAATTTAAAGTAATTAAAAGCCCCTTCTTTAGGCCAAATTTGGGATCCATTGAGATTTTTATATATTTTTAGAAGAATCTTTGTATAATTAAAAAAACTAATATTTTGTTTTTTCTCCCAATTACATGTAAAACAATTTTAACATTCTTTCTCAAATTTTGAGTTCCAAATTCTGTCCCTCTTTCCCTCCCCCTCCCCCTCCCCCATTGAAAAGGCAAGCAATTGACATATGACATAGGTTATACATGTGTAGTCACACAAAATACATTTCCATGTAAATCATGCTATGAAAAACACAGACAAAAACACCTCCCCCCCCCAATAAAGTAAGTAAAGAAAAAGTATCATCAATCTGCATTCAGGCTCCACCAGTTCTTTCTCTGGAAGTGGATAACACCTTTCATCATAAGTCCTTCAAAATTGTCTTGGATCATTGTATTGCTGGGAGTAGCTAAGTCATTCACAATAGATCATCTTACAATATTGATATTATCGCAATATTGTAAGATGACCGGCTGTGAATGACAGCTATTCTCAGCAATACAATGATCCAAGACAACTCTGAAGGACGAAAAATGCTATCCATCCCCAGACAAAGAACTGACTGTGTCTGAATGCAGATTGAAGCATACTTTTTTTATTTTGTTTTTCTTGAGGTTTTTGTCATTTCTGTTTTCTTTCAAAACATGGCTATTATGGATATGTTTTGCATGACTACACATGTATAACCTATATTGAACTGCTTGCCTTCTCAATAAGGAAAAGGGGAGGGAAGTGAGAGAATTTATAACTCAAAGTTTTATAAACAAATGTTAAAAATTGTTTTTATACGTAACTGGGGGAAATAATTAAATAAATACATTTTAAAAAAGAAAGTAAAAAAAAATATTACTGTTACTGTATACAATGTTCTTCTGGTTCTGCTCATTTCACTTTGCATGAGTTCATGTAGGTCTTTCTAGGTTTTTCTGAAAGCATCCTGCTCATCATTTCTTATAGCACAATAGTATTCCATCCCAATCATACAACAACTTGTTCAGCCATTCCCCAATTGCTGGGCATCCCTTCAATTTCCAATTCTTTGCCACCACAGAAAGAGCTGCTATAAATATTTTTGTACATATTTTTGTTTTTTATGTCTTTGGGATATAGACCTAGGAGTGGTTCAAAGGGTATGTCCAGTTTGGTTGCCCTTTGGGCATAGCTCCAAATTGCTTTCCAGAGTGGTTGAATCAGTATACAACTTCACCAACAGTGCATTAGTGTTTAAATTTTCCCACACCCCCTCCAACATTTATCATTTTGCTTTTCTGTCATATTAGCCAATCTGATAGGTGTGTGATGGTAGCTCAGAGTTGTTTTAATTTGTATTTCTCTAATCAATACTGATTTAGAGAATTTTTTCATATGACTGTAGATAGCTTTGATTACTTTGTCTGAAAATTGCATGTTGATATCCTTTGACCATTTATCAATTGAGGAGTGGCTCTTATTTCTATAAATTTCACCCAGTTTTTTATATATTTGAGAAATGAGGTCTTTATCAGAGAAACTTGCTGTAATAATTTTTTTCACAGTAATGATTACCAACCATGTATTTACCTCCATCCTATTTCCTCCCTGTTTATCCTACTTTCTCTCTCTTTTCACCCTGTCCCTCCTTAAAAATATTTTGTTTCTGACCATCACCTCCTCCAATCTGCCCTTCCTTCTATCAGC